TGTGTGTGTGTGTGTGTGTGTGTGTGTGTGTGTGTGTGTGTGTGTGTGTGTGTGCGCGCACGCATGCACGTAACACATCCTACAGTTTTCTTTCTGGGAAAACACACTGTAAGCATCCTGCTTGCAATGCAGTTTGTAAAAGCACATGGCACTCTGCTGTCCAATAACTTGCCTCTCACCCCTTCCCCCTTCAGTCTTGTTCTCCATGCTGATCGCCCAGCATCCTACACCTCCGTTCCATCCCTGGTGTAGATGAGGCTGTTAACTGTGAAGTTGTAGTAATGGTTGTACTGGGTGCCCTGGCTGCTGCTGCCCGGATGGAAGGAGCTGTAGTAGGCCGCAGAGGGCCCTGGACCGCGCTGCAGCTGTTCTGCCGGAGGCACCTCCTGGGAGGCGTTCCCAGAGCCTGGGAAGGAGCCGCCGCTCAGCTGTCCGGCAGAGAAGTTCCTGTGATGCAGCTCGCTGCTCAGGCTGCCCATGAGACGATTTCCTCCGCCACTCAGTGAGCTCATGCCACTGAAGAAGCTGCTGAGGCAACTCGGGGTGGATGAGATGATGCCAGGGGACGAGGAGCTTTTTGGATGGTCCCTGGCAGGAGGCGATGGCTCCAGCTCTGGGGACGGGCTGTTTCCACAGAGCTTGCCTGCAGCAGCTATGAGAGAAGGCTCTTCCTCAGCCTTCACCCCTGCCAAAGATGGGGCAGTGGAGGTCACTGCAGCGGCATTGGGCTCGGAGCGCCGCTTCCGCTTGCGACGGAAATTCCCGTTGTCAAACATCTTCTCGCAGTTTGGGTCTAAAGTCCAGTAGTTTCCCTTCCCTGAAGGCAGAAACAGAAAGGAAGTTGGAAAAGGAGCTCCTTGTGCATGCAGTTCCACTTGCTGAGGGTTGGTACCCTCCTTTCACCAACACTGAACTGATCTACACCCCTCAGCTCCCCGCTTCTTGTGATCGAAACCCTTCACCTCCCCTTCTTGTGTGTCCCCACTACAGATGCATGATCATCCCCACCTTGGCAATCGCATCAGAAACTGGGCTGGTAACCTCCAGAGCTGCCAAGCATGTGCTGCTACCCCTTAAGCCCTAAGATCAGGCAGTCAATGGCATGCATATGCCATTCCCCCATGCTGCCAGGTTCATGTGCACCCCAGGCTCAGAGGGGGCCTGGACTCTGGTGCAAGCTTACACTTGTCCTTCCACCTGCATCCTGCATAGCTGGTGCAGGTCTAGGTAGAAGGGTATAACAGTGACACTTGCCTAGTGCATCTCATCCACCTGTGACAACAAATTACCCAGGGGGCTCATGCTACATGCACAAAAGCCTATTGTGATGGCTGCAAGGGATAAGCAGCAGTATAGCCCTGACTGTGGTCCAGGGCCTGACCCCTGAGCAGGGATATGCCCTGCATCCCCAACCCAGATGGACAGCACCCTCCAGGACCGAGCCATCTTTGGCAGCTGTGTCCCAGACCCAGATGCCTCCATCCAGGCAAGGGACCTGTGTCTTGGAAACCAGCCCCGCCTCACACTTTTGCACCTCTGCGAAGCAGCTTGGTTCAGCCCTAGGGATCTCAATCTGATCCGCTTTCTCCAGTGTGATAATAATAACCAAGACCCTGAGCAGGATCTGGCTCCTGCCCAGGTGGCACCAAGCGCTTACCCCAGCACTAGGGTTACAGCTCTGTGCAGCTCCACAGCTCCCTCCCTCCCCACCTCTGGCTCCTGCCTGGGGCAGCAGTGAGGGCAGACCTGGTGCTGCATGCTGCTTTGGTCCAAGGCCGCACAGCATGGGAGGGGGTTACCTCTACCCCTGGGATCTGGGTGCATCCTACAGGGGCAGCAGGTCCCTGGCAAGGAAGGAACCCCTCCTCTGCCTCCCCCAGCACCCCAGCAAGCTCCCTCTCTGCAGTCACTTTGCCCGGGGTCATAAGAATTACCACTGACTGTGTCAGACCATAGGTCCAGGTTGCCCAGTCTTGGTGCTCATTATAAGCCTATGACCCTCACTCCTTTTTGTCCAAGGAATCAATTGTTACACCCCCAATGGCCTCCTTTTGAAGGAAGGCTCCTAGTTTTACTTGGTGAGCCTAGGCCCACACTTCCCCAGTAGCATCACCAAGAGGCCTGTGTCACAGAGCGGCAGACAATGGAGTCAGAGAGGGACCTGGGTCTAACCAGGGGCTTTTCCCTACTGTTCCCCTGGCAGCCTCCAGCAGTGAAGCTGTAGGGAGTCCTGATTCAGCAGCTGTGTTCCTCATTCCCAGGCTCAGGGGCTACCAATGCCCCTTTCCTCCAAGCAATATCCAATCCCTTTTTGGATGAGGCTGAATTGCATCCACCCTAGAGCCCCCACCTGCACTGGATCCTGCTCCCTTCACTGCTGGACTAGAGGCCGCCCGGCCTCTAGTCCTCATCTGGTGGGAGCCCCATTAACTCTCTCTTCCCCACTGCTCTCCCATGACTCGGGTGCCGCTAAACAGTTTTAAATGAAGAGCCATTTTTCAATGACAAAAGGAAAAGCTAAAGGCTGCCATTAAGCCTCATTCATTGTCCTCAGCAGACTTTTCTATCAGGCTGAATGCTATTATCAAGCCCCTCTTTAGCAGGGTGCTTTATTGTTAACACCCAGGTATTTATAGTCACATGTGCCCACTAGGGGCCACAATCTGTGCTCTCCCATCTCCATTCACTGCAGGAGAAGAGAGCGGGGTTTGGCCCCAGTACTAAGAAAACTTTAAATGAAGTTGGGATTTTTGAAGCTATTAATAGCCCAGTCCTAAAACCCTGGCTCAGACCCCACTGACTTTCAAGGGTTGCAGTTGAGCAATTCTACCGTGGACCGTCATCCAGCAAGGTTTCAGTGGCACTGACTTCACTGAGGCATGCAGGGCATGGCAGGATCCGGCCCGCGCTGGGGAGGACATTTGTTTCAAAGTGAACACAAGGTTTTGCCGAGTTAAGGCTGCAGGACTGGACTCTCCAGAGGGATTCAGCAGCTGTGCCCCTCACTCCTAGACTTGGGCTACTGAAGACCCTTTCCTCCAAGCTGTGTCCAGGCCCTTTTTGGATGGAGCTACACTGCTTCCACCCCGGAGCCCCACCTGCACTGACCCCTGCTCCCAGTCCTCGTCCGGCGGGACCCCGAGTAAAGCCCCACGACTTTTCTCTTCGCCGCTTTTCCCCCCGCATCGCCTCCCACCTGTGCTACAAAGCTGCGTCTCCCCTTGCCCTGGCAATGGCCCTGCCTGGGTCCTCCCCCAGCGGCCTCCTCTGCCCCCACAAGTGCCCAGGCCGGGGTCACCCCCACCCCAGTGGCCTGCCCCACGGCAGGTGCCCACCGGGCGTCTCCCGCAGCCGCCAGCGCCAGGCCGGGGCCCCCGCAGCTCACCCGGGTCGTCCTCGTCGCGGGGCACCTTGCGGAAGCAGTCGTTGAGGGAGAGGTTGTGGCGGATGGAGTTCTGCCAGCCCGCCTTGCTGCGCTTGTAGAAGGGGAAGTTCTCGGTCACGTACTGGTAGATGCGGCTGAGCGTGAGGCGGCGGCCGGGCGCGCTCTGGATGGCCATGGCGATGAGGGCCGAGTAGGAGTAGGGCGGCCGCACCAGGCGCAGCAGCTCCTCCTGCCCGGCCAGCCCCAGCCAGCCCAGCTCGGCGCCCGGCCCCGGCCCCGGCGCGG